ACTTCACTGTAGTGGTACTCATTTTTTTTTTGGGGGGGGGGCGCTACCCCAAAGGAAAGTGTGCATCGTCATTGGTAGGGAAGATCCCAGCATTTATAAAATACTGATGGTGGAAAGTGCTGACAAGTTCCAGCCAACTTAAGGTGACCCCGTAGGGTTTTCAGGGCAACAGATACACAGAGGTGGTTTGCCATTGCCTGCCTCTGCGTAGCAACCCTGGTATTCCTTGGTGGTCTCCCATCCAAACACTGATCAGAGCTGACACGCCTCAGCTTCTCAAACCTGGCAAGATCAGCTAGCCTGGGCTATCCAGGCCAGGGCATCAAATGCTAGAATACTACACAAAATACTACTCACGGGTAAAATTAGTTCTGTGCAGATGAAACACCCCCCCCAACACACACACACATTGACTCACCATACAGGGAGAGAGAGCAGGCACAAGTGTGCTATCTCCCCTTCGCTTGATCTCTGAGTCATCTGCACAGGGGTCATTTCGTAGAAAAAGAGCTCGGGGAACTCATTAGCATAACTCATTAGCATATGACACACCCCCTGACAACAGGGGCCTGGCGGTGGACCTGCAAGGCCAGCGGGAGTGCGGGGAAGCCCCGCCAAGGCCCTCCCTGGCCCCAGGCAGGCAGGGGTGGGGAGAGGCGGGGAGGAAGCAACTTACCCTCCCTCTTCTCCTGCCTCCTCCTGGCTGAATGAGGGCTGGAAGCGGGGCGGCCGGAAGCAGGGGGCGGGGCTTCATCATGTGCCCTGCCCCCCTGCACTTCACCCGGGGGAACTGCGTTCCCTCGCGTTCCCCCCCGAAATGACCTCTGCATCTGCATGGTGCAAACACGAAGAGGAGGTGCCCGCAGGAGGCTTCCCCCCCAATAATCAGTAATGCTGCTTTCTGATTGATTACTGGGAGGGGGCATGTTCACGGGCACTCTTCCCGCACATTTGCAGACTGTGAGGACTACGTGGCAATCGTGGAGGGGTGTGGCCAGCACACTTGTGCCCAGTGTTCCCTCTAAGATGAGTTAGTGTGAGCTAGCTCGCAGTTTTTTTAGCCTCCGGCTCACACATTTTTGTCTTAGCTCAGGAAGGACGGCTCCAGAGCAAACTGATTTATGCAGTAGCCAAATCACTTGCTCACAACTTTAATGCCAGTAGCTCACAAAGTAGACATTTTGCTCAGAAGACTCCATAGCTCACAAGACTCTCCCTCCATGCACAATGAGTCGGCACGGGCCCGCAAGCAGGGATAGGCTATCACAAGGAACAGGGAAACCGGTCTGGACAATTATCTATCCCATTCGTGTCCACCAGAAGCCCTTTCTTCAAGCAACATAGAAATTAAAATGAAGAAAGCAGAAACAAAAATACATCAGGCTACCCTAACGTAATAAGGCTATTCATTAATAACAAAGCTCGCCTCTGTCCTCTAGACAGTGGGTATGCAAGGCACGGTACTCAAAACAACAGATGATTTTTTTTCCAAAGAACCTTATTTCTCTCTTAATGCGCACGCCAGACTTAATCCAATAGAAGCAATCTGGGTGGAGAGATGGCGTTCACATCCTGATTGTTCCCCCACTGGATCTCAGCCAGTGTACTTATTTACGGTGTCTATCGACTGTTTTTTCCTCCCCAAAGGTCACAAAGAGGCTCACAGACAGGAGTGTGTCTAAGTAAAAAGGCTGCCAAGCTGCAGCCAACTCAAGGTGACCCCGGCAAGGGGCTTTCAAGGCAAGCGAGAGAAGCAGAGGGTGGTCTGCCATTGCCTTCCTCTGTAGAGTCTTCCTTGGTGGCCTCCTTCCAATTACTGGACCCTGGTTAGCTTCCGAGGGCTGACAAGATGGGGCTATAACCTTGCCGCCTTCCCTCCCACAGACAAATACAAATTATCAAGTTAAACAAATAGTGCAATTAAATAAGCTGACACACACACCCCCGCTTTGGCCCTCTGTTTGATGAGACTGAGAAGCAAAGGCTCTTCTTCCACTGAGCCACGGCCCCCCTTCGTGTCCCCCCACGGACAATCAGCACTGTCCATCCTCTTGGCAGGAGTGGGACGTTGTTTCTGCCCAAGCAGAGCGAGCAGGTTGGTTGCCATGGCATGTGAGATACTTATAGTGGTACCCAGGGGTCATTTAGTAGAAAAAGAGGGTGCAGGAGTTCATTAGCATAACTCATTAGGATAACTTATTTACATATGCCACACCCCCTGACCTCACCGGAAGTGTGTCAGGAGGCAACACCCACTGCAACTTACCTGGCTGCTTCTTGCTCCTCATGGCCCGAGGCTGCTGGGAGCAGGGGGCGGGGCTTGTTGCTTGTGCCCGCCCCCTGAGCTCTTTACTGCCGGAGCTCCGCTCCTGTGTGCTCCTGTAGGAAATGACCCCTGGTGGTACCTTTCTAGCTAGGGTAAAGGTTTTCCTTGCTCGAAAGCCAGTCGACTCCGACTCTAGGGTTGCGGTGCTCATCTCCGTTTCAAAGCCGAAGTGCCAGCGCTGTCCGAAGACGTTTCCGTGGTCATGTGGCCGGCATGACTAAACACCAAGGCGCACGGAACGCTGTTACCTTCCCACCGAAGCGGTACCTATTTATCTACTTGCAATTTCTTGCTTTCGAACTGCTAGGTTGGCAGGAGCTGGGACTAGAGACGGGAGCTCACTCTGTCATACGGCAACTCGGGTCTCGAACTGCTGAACTACCGACCTTCCGGTCTGCAGTTCAGCGTCTTAACCACTTGAGCCACCTTTCTAGATACTGATAGATAAAAGATACCAGGCTGAAATAATCATTTGTTCTTTTGTCTATTTTTTTTCTCTTGTTCCAGCCAAGCGTTGGCTTCCACAGTTCCTGTCTCTACTGGCAAGTTGGCAGCATCCCCCTCCAGTTTCCACACTGCCAGTTCCTGGATCTGAAACAGGTCTATTCCTTAGCATGGGAGTCTGCAACGGATGACTCGAATCCAAAAGTGGCTCAGTATGGAACCAAGTACAGCTCTTTCAAAACAAGAATGGATCTTTCAGTGAAAGGCGGTCTGTGGGATGCTAGACTAACCAGTCTGTGAAGGGAATGGCAAGCAAAGATTTTTATGGGACTAATGAGCTCTTGAGAGATGCTTTATAGAAAGGAAAAGGATAAAGGCAAACAGTTGAGAGTAACCCCATGTGCAAACCATGCACAGGTTTATG